AAGCTAAAGCAGTAATATAGTTAAAAACTACCAACACCTAGGACCCTCGACCATCGGCACCCGCGCCCGGTCGACGAGGAAAAACGTCTGACTCCGTATAGAGGCTGAGGTACAAGCCCGACATATGGATAAATCGCACAACATCGCTCAACAAATGAGACTAATCGATAGTGCCCGACGTGGACAACTACACCGAGCCCCACCGTCGTAGTACCTGTAAGGCAGAACACCCAGCTCGCGATGGGCAGTTCACACCAAGGGCAAATAGTCCCTACCGGGCTTCGCGCTCGACTGAGCAACTTCGCTCTATATGCCCGACAAGTCGTCAAGAATGACGGGCCATCTAAAAGGGTAAAAAGGAAGTCTCTTCCCTCGAGTGCAACACTTAGGTGACTCTGGCCAGCGAAAGAAGGCCGGGCACGTATACAAACGAAAGGCGGGCAAACTCGCCAGCTAAGTCACAACCACTTACGGGCACTCCTCGGGCCCATAACTTAGGCTAATTTTTATACAAAAATATAAAAATCAAGCACGGGCAAACAATCAAAATTGAAACAGCATTCATTCAAAAAAAAAAAACGCCCGAAGGCAACAAAGCAAATAAGTATAAACCGACCAAGAAGGCCGGCGATGTTCGTGAAGTACAACCAACGGGCACGCAGGCCCAAAAAATACAAACAAATATCAAAGGCACGCAGGCCCGCTATCCTACAATCAAGCTTCCCCGGAACCATCATTGTCGACAACAGGAGAGTCGGGCGGGGGCACGATCGCGCCATCCACGATCTGATAAGTGTAGCCCGTCCCCTCAGTGACCAAACCAGGATTTAGCAAGGAAAGTTGGCCGACTGCGGAGTCGAACCCCTCCTCCATAGCACCGACGCAATCTGCTTTGAGTAGCTGGATATGGGCGACCAGCTCCGATCGACTCTTCAAAGCAGCTATATCCTCCGGCTCATCCTCGGCAGGAAGCATGGCGACTTTCAGGTCCTCGATCTGTTGGGTCAGGCGCCAAATGTCGGCCTCCAGACGATCCCTGTCCGCGCGGAGAAGTTCCCCCTCCTCGGCTAGCTTCCCCGAATTTTCTTTCTCCAGGATCAACATCTCTCTCTCAGCGGCCAGCAGCGATGCCTGCTCGCGGAACATCTCCTCGGAGCGTTCCATGGCAGTCCTTAACTTCCGCAAACTCGAGGTGAGAGCCGCTTTCTCCTGCTCCAATTCTTCAATACGGACAAGATCCTCCCCTTCCTCAGACAGCACCATGGCCATTTCGGCCATTTTCACTAGCCCGGCCATGTTGGCGGCCAGGTGCCTCCTCCGATCCTCCTTACTCATCCTCTTGATAGTCTCAGCCTCATCGGCAACCACGGACAGAGGGAATCTCTCGAAGAAACCCTCCTCTTTGAAGCAAGGGGGCAACCCGAAGGACCTTACGGCGCTGGCGTCCTCGCCGACCGCCGGCCCACTTTCCACCCGGTTCCTCTTTCTTTGTATCAGGTCGGCATGTGGCTCGACCTCTTGAACCTCTGGGATTTCGTCCGACGTGGCCCCCGAGCTGGGCGACGAATCCACCCTCACCACATGAGGAGCGCCCGGGCTATGCGGCGGGCCCATCCTCGTTGCTTGGGGAGCCTTCACAACCCTCCTACCCCGCTTCTGGTCGCAAGACAACTTCAAGAGTCTTTCCCGTCGTCCGGCCATCGAACCTGCACAAAATAAAAGACGGGTTAGTGTCGAGCAAATACGCAAACAAATGATAAGCAAAGAAATTCAAGCAATAAACGACCTAGCAGACGAGCAGCCTGCCTGAACGACTGGCACTCCACGAGTGCCTTAGTATCGATCGGTCGGGCCTCGAATGTCGGATAACCCTCCTCGTCCAAGACATCTTCCCCCTCCCTCGTGGCCCACCTGGCGGGGTGGAAGCTGTCAACGAACCGACAAAGAGTGTCGTACGCCTTCTCATCCTCGGAACACATGTCGCCCGCAGAGGTATGATAGTATCCAGTACCGTGCTCATAATGCCTGAACATCCAATGCACGGGGAACTTGGCCGTGCGTGCCATCACAGGATACCCATCGTTGTCTAGGATCGCCTCCCCGTCATCGTCGCTCATCGGCGCCTCCTCCTCGTACAGGGATTCCAAAGCAGCCGTGGTAACCGGCCTCACGACATACCACTTGTCTTTAAAACCCCTCACGGAGTCCATGTACATCTTGAATAATCTCCTCGACTGTTTTAAGGAGACCCAGTTGTGCTTCCCTCCTCGGGACTGGCGCTGCAGATGGAAAATTCTGAAGAAGAGAGGTATAGTCGCCCCGATCCTCAGAAAATGACATGTCAGCTCAAACGCCCGGATAAAGGCGAGCGAGTTCGGGTGTAGCTGCGATGGGGCCAGCCCCAGATGGGCGAAGACCCCGGTCTGAAAGTCACTGAAGGGCAGCTGCAGCCCAAGATCTTTGAACGCAATTTCGTACATGGGAAAACTATACTCGGGGTACACCGAGCAGATCCGGGCAGTGGAGGTCGGTCGCGTAACGACGAAATTCTTTTGAAAATCAGGCTGACCGTGGCCCGCCTCAAGGACAACATATGGCTTTCGGTTATGCCGGCTATAGATCGACGCGATTCCTCTGGGCTCGACGCCCACCCAGTCCAACAGAGGGTCGTCGACAGTGTCGATCAAACTCACCGCCTCATCGGCACTTTGTTCCTCCCGTTCGGGGCGTCCAGAAGAGCACGACTCGTCCGCCATGGTTACCTGCAGAGCACGGGAAACCAGTCAATTGGGCACGAAACCATACGCTCGATGTAACGGACCAGATGTAGCGTGCGACAAACCACGTCGCTCCACGCGCGACCATAAAGTTAAGTTTGAAACAAAATAGCAGTCGCCTCCCCTGACGTCCGGATAACTCGACGAGACCTTCTCCAAGCCGCTTAAGCAAACCGACAACGCGGTCACTCTCCAATATGCCGACCTAAGGTATGAATATGGCGAGCAACATCATAAAACCTACGGCCATAGCCATGAACATACCGGGCACGATCATGAATCAGGCGCCCTGGATCATGAAGACCCCGGGCAGCACTGCAGATTGTAACCTAAACTATGTATCTACCGGCCACGAGCATGTGTTTGCCGGTCCTAAGCATGAAGTTGTCGAGCTAAACATGAATATACCGGGCTAGTCCCACGCGCACAGTCCCTAAAACGTCTACAACGGTGAAAATCATGCATCACAACAGGAAAACGAAGAAGATAAGTCACTTACTTGCAATCAAGGAGTGAGTCCTGCAACGGAGGAAAGGAATCTGTGACGGGAATCGCAGCTATGCTATGAAAATCTGGAAGAACAACAGCAGTAGGAGCGCAAAGAGTAGTAACGCGTTATGGGGCCCAAGGATCCTATTTATAGTGATAACGTGGAATACCAAACGTCACCTCGGGCAACCACAAAGTTTCTCTCCTCGACGCACGGCTCCCAAGGCAATGATGACCCTATCATCATAGGGTGGCGGCACAGTTCCCGAAAGATACCTCGTGTGCTCGACAGACGCGCGCCGGTGAGGATTCCCCGAGCATCCACCGCGAAGGATTTGTCTCCGAGCACGACACGGAGAAGCCCTCGAGGAGCTGCATCTCTGACCCGGGCGCGAGACCCCGAAATGGAAACAACCTAAGATCAGGCCATGTCTCCTAACCCAAGGAACCACGACTTGGGGGGCTCCTGTTCTGTACTGGGCCCGACAGGCCCAATAGCATTGATAAGACCCAATCCAAACGGACTTGCTGAGGACCACGCCGACCAAAGGGACACAGTCGTGCCCGACGTGCTCCCTGAGGTTATTTGCTCGACCTCCAACTGTCCAGCTCGACATCCTGCTGTCCAACTCGACATCACCTCGAGCACCCCAACTAGGGCAGACTCAGTCCACTGCACTCCCAACGAGACCCCGAAAAGACCGCGTCTCTGTCCGCCCACATTTCACGCAGAACATCCAGGGAGAGGATCACGTGCGGGTCCCCACTACGCACGTAGAACCTGGCAGTTCCTCCATTGGGCCAAACCTGCCCGGCCCAATGAAGGAACCTTGGCCCAGCGCTGGGGGCTATAAATACCCTCTGTTTCCAGAGGGTCAGGTATTCATCATTCTACCCATACTTACTATTGTCTGCTCGTGCTCTTACTTACTTCAGCATCGGAGTGTCTTGCAGGTATCCCCTCCACCTCGTTCAAAACTTTCAGCTCGGAGCCAGCCGTGACGGTCCAAGTCTGATCAGGTTAGATCAAAACCCAACGATATTGCCAACCCACCCAAATCCAACAACCAACCCCACAACATTACGAAACCACATACATCCAAATCTACGACTAATTCATGTCACACACCCAGACACAAAATCAAGAGCATGAACCATACTGCCACCAACCATATGCTGACACCACATCTTACCACAACACCGATGATACATATGATACCACCGCATCCTACCATAGCACCCAATAAATGTAAAGCCAAATATTGCATCACCAAAGTACACAAACATCACACCGCCAAAGCACTCAACCGACACATGTCTTTCAAACACCACAAAAACCATTGTTTCGTTTCCAAAACGATTCAATATCCCAATTCAAACAACCAACCCACCCACACGTAACTCAACTAATACGGCCTAACTACGACAACATAGACACTAAACTTGATTACGATAGCGCCGACTACTGGAGAGATATGATCAAAAATTTGTTAAATAACACTAATATCCAAGGACCCTGACACCAAACACCTTAAACTCAGGCGAATATTAAGAGACCTCAAACATCTCAAAGAAATTGTGTGAGGCCTCGAAGAAAAACGCATGGCCTCCATGTGGAACTGATAGACATTTATAACCATAAACTTGAATAAAACTTTCGTTTCATATTTAAGACAAGTTTCAGGTATAACAAAATAAAGAGGAGCATTGTATTTGAAAACTACAGAATTGCCCATGCACATACACGGAAATGACGGACTTGCCTTTCAACGGATATGGCGACACAGTATTGTCGTCATTTGTGTGTTTGAATATCATATAATTTCTCCAACACTGATTATCCCACTCTCTTTCGTTTTTCTTTTTCTTCCCCTCAACTTCACCATAAATCAAATATTTTATTCAACAATAATGGACTAGTGTATTATTTTAAAATAAAAACAACACTATTAAAGTCCACGATCACAGGAAACCATGGAAGCAGAAAAAGCATTGAGTTGCAGTTACAGAATCGCCAAAGCCGGAGCGATTCCATTTTCACAACGTTTCGCGATCACCGGAACAATTCACTCTCCTCTTCGATTCTTCAACGCCGCACTTCGGAAGTTACAGGTCCTTTTGCAATATCTTCGAATTTGATTTAATTCCTTTTTGGTCCTTGCATGATTTCATCGCCGATCGATCTGAACTAGTTTCTTTGAAGCTTAACTAGCTTATTCATCAATTTCACGTTGTTTTTGCTGATTGTAATTATCATTGCTGTTTTTTGAATTCAAGTTATTTTTATCATGTTTTTGTGTGTTTACTGCTTATGCTATTTTTGGCTTGCAGAAGAAAAAGATTTATTGAAATGGCGAATTACGAAGGACGAGTATCTAGTGGTAGTAGCGATGTGAGATCGAGGAATATGATTTTTGAGCCTATTTTGGATGATGGAGTGTTTCGATTTGATTGTTCTGTACATGATAGAGATGCAGCATATCCTAGTATTTCTTTTCTGAATAGCAAGGAAAGAGAGACTCCCATCACTAATACTCACAAGGTTCCTTCGTATATCCCTAGCTTCGAGTGCCTTCTAGAACAGCAAGTTGTTCAACTTGAGGTCAGTTGCTTAAAGCGTTTATGCACAGATGATTTTAGTAGAGTTGCTTGGTATTGGTCTTTCTCTCACGAGCTTATAACATTTTTAAACGAACTTGTATTGTTTGGTTGTTTATTTTTTATTCTCTTTTAGTTTTTGTTGTGGCCTAATATTCTACTTAAGCAATTCCATGTACCTTGTCTTGAAAGGTTGATTGAGTTTGCTTTCAAACCAGCTACCTATAGGTACCTCCCTCTATGGAACTGGAGAAGTTGGTGGACAACTTGAGAGAACAGGCAAAAGAGTAAGTAGCCATAGGAAATTTTGGTTTCAAATAGACTTTCTTATTATATATAGACTCATCAGTATAATTTTATTTTAAGGTTTTCACATGGAACACGGACGCATGGGGTTATGGTCCTGAAACTGCATCCTTATACCAATCACATCCGTGGGTGTTAGCTGTTCTTCCAAATGGAGAGGCCCTAGGAATTCTTGCTGACACTACAAGGCGCTGTGAGGTGCTGTTAAATTTAGCTTTTTGTCATTTCTCGAGGTTAACCTTGAAGAGACATATCACGTAAGTGTTTTATAATGCTATAATGATCTGTTTGATGGTCTTTTGTCGTCTTCATAAGTAGATAGATCTGAGGAAAGAATCAATAGTACGTTTCATTGCTCCATCCTCATACCCTGTCATTACATTTGGTCCCTTTGCTTCACCTACGGAGGTTTTGATATCTCTATCAAAAGCAATTGGTAATTTTCTAAACTAAAACCTCAACTAAAAGTAATATAGCTTAACACAAGATGTTATGCAGTTTTTTTGTTTGGACAAACTGAAGTCTGTTTGTGGTTAATGAATGTAGTTCATATCATTAGAAGAACCTAGTACCTAAGGTTGACCCACATGAAATCAGGATTCATATGAATCACATGCATACACAAACATTTGTAACATCCTACTACTATGTAATAATATGCTTTTATTAAACTAGAAACTTATCAAATACATGATTAATTTTAAATACGGAATTGATAATATTATGCTTATTTATGCAAAATTCAAATCGAGAAAGCATGCAATGAACTATGTACTATTATTATCTTCTAGTTTTGATATGCTTAACTCTTTTTTGTGAATAATAACATTTAGGATATTTTTGGTTAAGATTCAAGAAAAGGTCAATTTTTAAATAAAAATCCCATCCATGTATTAGACGCGAATGTTAATGTGTACAAAGTTTTCCAGTGTCATAATTTACTTCATTTTGGTGGTGAAAGATACATCCTTACATTTTCTTTTATCATCAGGAACTGTGTTTATGCCTCCAAAGTGGTCATTAGGTTATCAACAATGCCGTTGGAGCTATTTATCTGATCAGAGAGTTCTGGAGGTACTTCATGCTATTCCTACTCTCTCCCTAAAATTTGAATGATTTTGTTTACAGACAAGTTTAGAACATTATAAAAATTCCCTCCACAAAGAGTTCAAAATTTGATTTCTAAGTCTAATTTTTTGTTACTTTTATCTTTAATTTTTTGGTGTTTATAAAATTCATATTTACATCGCATGTAAGAAACTTCTAATTTATTAAGAAACAACTTTTTATAATGTTCTAAAATATGCCTGACAAAAATCATTAAAATAAAAAATATATGTTGACTTAGCATCAAAGACTAAAACTGTTTGCATGATAGGTTTGTAGGGACTAAAAATTAGGAATGAAACAAAATTTTGTAATTTTATAGGGACTAAAATAGTTAATGCTCAATTAACAATTGAACATTTGCAGGTTGCAAAAACATTTCGGGAAAAGAGCATACCTTGTGATGTGATATGGATGGATATCGACTACATGGACGGTTTTCGTTGTTTTACCTTTCACAGGGCATGTTTTTCCTCTGCAATCAGTAGTCAATTTACAGTGTCATTGTTCTGATTTTCACATAAGGTATTTTTAGTTGTGCTCGTGAATTGTTCAAGTGATGAGTACGTGTAGTCTGCAACTCATAAATTAAAATGATGCATTGCATAGTTTTCTTTTGGTGCCTAGCATTAGTTCTGTAACCAGCATTTGTAATTTTGAAAATTCTAAGGTAAACTTTTGGTTCGGGCTAGCTGGCAAATTTTAATGTTTATAGCAATAATACTTTGTGTAGAAATGTAAGTATTATGCTATCTTTCAGGAGCAATTTAAGGATCCCAAGTCTTTAGTGAAAGATCTCCACTATAGTGGTTTCAAAGCTATTTGGATGCTTGATCCTGGGATAAAGCAGGAAAGAGGTTATTTTGTATATGATAGTGGTTCTGAAAATGATGTTTGGGTCCAAAAAGCTGATGGAACACCTTTTGTTGGTAAATTTTCTTTGCACATTAGTACTTTTTCTCTCTGTCCTTTTTCCTTTTGGTGAGGCATTGAGCCCATATATCCATTCTCAGGGGATGTGTGGCCTGGGCCTTGTGTCTTCCCTGACTACACACAGTCAAACGTTCGTGCATGGTGGGGAAATTTAGTTAAGGACTTCGTTTCCAATGGTGTTGATGGTATATGGAATGATATGAACGAACCAGCTGTCTCTGAGGTAATTGTAATCTCTTTGGGTTCTTTTCTCAAATTAAGAAACAATGTGTTCCAAGCCTCACTATTTGAGACTATTGATAAGTCCTGTTTCATCCTTTTAAAATCCCTTTCTTTTCCAGGTTGCAATGAACACAATGCCTGGTAGCAATGTACATAGAGGTGATGGTGAACTTGGAGGCTGTCAGAATCATTCTTTCTATCATAATGTGATAATCTTTTCCCTTTACGATTTTGGAGTCACATATCAATTTACCATGAAATTGTGGACAATGCTTACAAGTAGGATGCACTTTGATTATGTAATAAGATACTGCTGTGTGGCTTGATTCTGATGTTTGTTTATGAATTTTTAGTTGTAAGTTTTTTATGCCTTATCCTGCATTGTGGTGCGCTCTGGACTTTTATTATTGATCATGGCTTTTCGCTATAGGTGTATGGTCTGCTGATGGCAAGATCAACCCATGAAGGCATGAAACTAGCTAATGAAGACAAGCGTCCTTTTGTTCTCACCAGAGCTGGATTTATTGGCAGCCAAAGGTATGCTGCAACATGGACGGGAGATAATCTTTCAACCTGGGAGCATCTTCATATGAGTATCTCCATGGTACTACAACTGGTAAGGATCTTAGGAGCATGGGCGATAATTCCCTTGAACACCATTGTCATTCGATATTTTCCTGACACCATTCAGTTCTGCAACTTTTTGTGAAGCATGATTTAAGCATTTGTAGTCCTTTCCTTGTCACGTCTTATATAACACATTTTTATGGATGCATTTTTCTGGTATATTGGATTGGATACAGTGTATGCTTAGCTAGATATAAGTTGTTATTTCAAGTAGTTACCCAAATGATGAATTATACCTTTATTAACTGCAAACTATTGTATCATCATAAAACAAGATGGCTGCAACTAGCTGCTACAAAGGTTACAATACATAGTGTCATGGACTATCCATTCCAAGTTTTCTTTGAGTTGTGGTTATGATTTATTCTTTAGGACGCTGTTGGCACATGATTTTATTATCGGTTTCCTTTTTAGAACTATATGTTATGAGAGCTAAATTGCTTTTCTTCATCAAGGAAAAATTTATTTTCACATGTTTTTTCCTTAATTTTTGAATATGTAGATCAGTGCCAGATGAATTAAGATGACATTCTCTTGTTATGATCAAGTCAGAGTTTATATCAAATTTAAATATAAACGGTCACATTAAATACATGTTCAAAATTTCTTCATAATTTGAATTTGTTGCGTTCAGGGACTCAGTGGTCAGCCACTTTCAGGTCCTGATATTGGTGGATTTGCGGGCAATGCTACACCGAAGCTTTTTGGAAGGTGGATGGGTGTAGGTTCCTTGTTTCCCTTTTGCCGAGGACATTCTGAAGCTGGATCCACTGATCATGAACCCTGGTCCTTTGGCGAAGAGGTTGGATGAACTTTGGCTGCATTAAATCAATCATTACAATGTTTTCCAACTAGTCATATAATGAACTTTCATGTAAATTCCAAGATGAAATTGTATGTTATATATCATGCAGAGTAAAATTATGAAGGTTGTATATTTGAACTTGATCATTAGCTTGACATCAGGTTAATAATTTTCAGTTAATGGAAAAAAAGTTAATAATCTCATGTTTCATTCAACGTTTTAGGTTCCGGTGTTGCACATATGATGTGAACGTATTTAATAACTTTCAACTTGTTTTGCAGCTTCCCCAACCCCTCCCAAAAAACTGAAATTTTAGTGGAAC